CTGATAGAAAACAGATGAGGAGAATTCTATAGATACAAACATACTAAGATAAGAAGAGTAAATTTTTTTAAGTTACATAAGATAAGAATGAATTCGATAAGCAGGAAAGGCATGAGACACAGATAGTAACAGTATAAGATAGTGTGAGAAGAGGAGAGAGAGAGAGATAAGAACAGATAGCAATATATAGGTATATGTGAAAATCGTTATGAGAGTACGAGAGGGTTTAGGAGGGGCATGATCAGTTTAGGACCAGCATGATATCAAAACAGAATTGGATAGCTAGATACATATTGAGATGTGGACATAGCTGTATAGATCAAATGACCGACATTTCTATCTAGCTACCATTTTTTGTACTGTTCATCTTTTGTCTATCAATTAGTTTATCGATCTTTCTTCTCATTGTTCTTATATGACACATTCTGCATATATCGTTTTTTCAATGAAATTTCATTAACATCACCACCAATGTACGAACGAAAGGAAATCAATATGTTTGCAGACTGATATGTAGATGCTGGCTCTTTTTTTTTCTAGTTGAACATTTTCACACAGTCTTGTGTGGTTAATATTTTTCACTGAATTAAATGATCTGTCATGTAAGAAGATGTCACTGAATAATGAATTATATTTATGCTAAATAAGTCTTGTTTCATGATCACGCTACGTATATGCTTGTATTGTGTCTTATGTCTGTTTGTGTGTGTGTGAGTATGAGCGCGTGGTCGAGTGATTAGAACGTGCCCTTTCTGACCATGAGTCCTGGGTTTGAATCTCACCACGGTTGATTTGTAAAGAGGGAGACTTCCTGATGGCATCAGTCAGGAGGGACCAATCCAAGCCTGCGGCACTTTTAGAAAAAAAGTGCATGAAAACCATATCCCGGGTTGTGAATGAAATTGGGTAGATGGAACTCTTGGGAGACGTCGATAGCTGTGGTAGCACGAAGTCACAAGTCATCGTGACCGAGGGTTTGAATGTTCTGGCCTTGTTCACGCTAGATGACTAAGGTCTGCGTAGATGCAGTATAAACCACAGATAATTACCTGATACGAATTGACTGCCGTCCTATTAGATGGGTATCCTCGAATGACCAGCTTTTATATATATATATATATATATATATATATATATATATATATATATATATATATATAGATAGATAGATAGATAGTAACGGCCATAATATAAGGAACGGAAACAACAAAGACATAAATATGTGCATTACTTAAAATGTAATGCATGATTAGCAATGAAATTTTTACCGAATAAAGATCAGGGTGTAATTCATAAATATTATACAAAGTTACAAAAATTTACATAATAGTTTTCTTTTTTTTTAATTAAAGATTAAATGGAACAAAGGAAATAAGCTACTGGACAAAAGTTAAGGAACGATATTAATAATTTACATAAACTTTTAATTTACATTTTTAAAAACCTCGATGGAAGTTTTCAACAATAAGTAAAAGTTCATTTATCATTAGGACTTTATTTTTGAGCAATATGGCAAATTCTACACGCAAAACGCTCTCTTTTGAAGAAAAAAAAACTCATTATCACTATCAAGAAAAAAAGTCAATTTCAGAAATTTCTGATATTGTTCATAGGTCTAAAAGTGTCGTTCATTGTGTAATTAGCAGGTATAAAACCGATAAAACGTTAAATGCAAAACCCCAAAACCGGCAGAGCCCCAAAAATATCGTAAACTATATATATATATATATATATATATATATATATATATATATATATATATATATATATATATATTTCCGCGGCGAAAGGCTATTAAAAGCAATCGTCTAGAGACTATTTAAAAGCAATCGTCTGGAGACTATTGCGATCAAATATGAAACAGAGTGTCGCCACTGTGTGTTGACCTCAAAGTCCGCTTTATGTTTACATACGCCCTATTGTGACATTTTGCAATTTTAATGATATATAGCATACTTTAAAACATTATCTTTATAATATGAATATATATATATTTATATAAATATAAAAGTGAACATGGAAGTCAACACTTAGAGGCGACAGTCTGTTTCATGCTATATGCAATCGTCAGGCTACGTCTATATATATATATATATATATATATATATATATATATATATAGAGAGAGAGAGAGAGAGAGAGAGAGACAGACAGACAGACAGACAGAGACAGAAACAGAGAGAGGTAAAGTGGTTTGATAAACCGAAGGTAAGAGAAATTGATATGAATATGTGATATCCTGAGTGTTAACCGTAGTACATTAATCAAAAATGTCCCTAATTCGTGTTTATTTGCACCAATCTACATTATTGTTGCTTGATTTCTGTTGGCGGTCATCTTTTCACTCGAAATTGAAAACGGAGATGACAAAATTAAATTAGCAAGCAAAAATGTCTGAATGTCTCCAGGCCCGTCTAATTGAAATTGACTCGTTTGACTTTTTTCAGAAATAAGATACAGCTAGAAAGCGACAAATTTATTCTCAACTACATATGCACGTATTGTCGCCTGAATTGCAACGATGCCTCATAACGTTCGCCTCTCAGGGCATTCATGGAGAATTGGCTTCTCATTAGGCACGTGTTAGATAATTTAAATATCTAAATCTATACAAATACACTGATATTTGCATAATCGGTAAAATGTAACGTTCACAGTATAAAATACCATGCGAGACAAAAAGTTAAATATAGAGTAATCATTTAAATAAGGAATTCTTAACAACAACAATAATAATAATAATAATAATAATAATAATAATAATAATCGCAGTGATATCATGCATACGCATGAAGAGTCTTGAATTAGTCCTGTTAGCTCTTGTGTTAATTGAGAAGGTCGAACTGACGAAAATACACAATTACCAGGCAGCAGTCAAATTTGTCTCTGGCACTCACAAATATTTCCAGGAAACCTTCTGCTTTGACAATAAAAAATTATTAGGCATGTATAGGTGGCAGAGCTTCTTGAAAAATTTTATGTCCTGAGGAAATAGTTTTGTCTCTAAGCCTTGGAGAGGAGTTGAGATATGACAATCATTACCTGCTCAAAATATCTCAGATTAGAAGACGTCATTAATACTAGTACTAGTAATACTACTACTACTATTATTATTTTATTATAACAAATGATAATAATAATAATAATAATAATAATAATAATAATAAGAAGAAGAAGAAGAAGAAGAAGAAGAAGAAGAAGAAGAAGAAGAAGAAAAAGAATTCCTATAAATTCTGAGAAGACTATTGGAAATCTAATTTTGGGTTTCCCAAACCTAGTTCTGATTGAATTTTTTATACGGACATAAGTTAGAGAGATGCAGTATTGTAAACTACACCATTGTTTGATTCTCCCCAAAGTAGAAAACAGTATAAACAAAAAACTGTTCAGTTCGTGAGAGTGGAAATGATAACATTTTTCTGGGATTTACACCTACCGCTACCACTGTATCTTTGTTTTTCGTTTTTTTGTATAGCGTATCAAAACTGTGTTGGTCATTTAAAACAAAAACATATTTCAGAACTGATGGTATTATCAAGGCGCAGATACAAAATAAAAAAAAACTAATTAAAGTAAAGAATTAAAAGATCTATTAGATAAATATGGCACGCGGGAAGAAAACATCTCAGAAAATGTCTTCACAAAGTTTCAAAATTTAAAACCCTGCGAACAGTAACTGTATCGACTTTGAATTCTAAAGCAACCATGAATTCATAAGGGTTAAAAAAGGTACAGATATATATTTAAAAAAATTCTCAAGAGGACAATATTCTGTGAGACATGATATAATTGTGATCGTCAGTATATGTAAAGAACTTGCAAAAATAAATATACTTGAAAACTGTGTTAACCCAAAATGCGACAATTTTATTGGACTTTACATTACACACAGATATTGTAATCGAAGACCATAAGAACAGAATGTGCTTTCTTATTGATATGGCAGTCCCTGCATATTGTAATGTATCTTTGAGAGATCTGCAACAATCTATCAAAATAAAAGAACCTTGAACTGGAAATGTACAAAATGTAGCACTTGTGAACACATGATAGAAACCTTGGGGATACATGACATCATTGACAGTGAGCAAGGTTTAGCGCTGCTTGGAACATTTCATATGGTGAGGAAAGTATTGTATCTCTAAACTGCGTTTAAGAGCTGCATTAGGACTATCATCTCATGGAGCGAAATATCTAAGAGTTTGAGAGTATCTTAAATAATAATAATAATAATAATAATAATAATAATAATAATAAAAACGGTGCCACCTTGTTAATATGGCAGTCCCTGCTGACTGCAATGTATCTTTGAATATATTCAAAAAGCTGTCAAAATACAAGGACCTTGAAATAGAAATCTCGAAAATATGGCATATGGGAACATCAACAATCACTGTTGTAGTTGCAACCCTAGGACTGGTTGGAAAAGATTGCAGTAGACTAATTGAAGGGATTCCGGGAAGTCCATGCCTCAAGGAGATACAAAAAATTGTTCTGACAAATACAGCTCACACTTTACGAAGGGCTTTATCTATGTAATGATTTTTTGTGGCTACGTACTGCATTGTTGAAAGCTGAAACTGAAGGTTTTATCCTTGCTGACAGGAACAATGCTTGTTAAATAGAAATTATCAAGCACATATACTAAATTATTGTGTTAGTCCAAAATGCAGATTCTGTGATAAATATCAAGTAACAATTGATCATCTTGTATTAAGTTGCACGATATTGACTCCCAAAGAGTATAAAACCCGGCATGACTGAATGGTCCAATATCTGCACTGGAAAGTGTGCAACTTCTATGGGAAGGAAAATGAAGGGAACTGGTATGGTATGAACACCACCCACACCCTGTTACGGAGATAGGACCTGTTACAATTCTATGGGACTACACAATACACATTGACAGAACAATCAAACTGTTAATAAGTTTCGTCCTTCTGCCACCTCCCCCAGACCGCGTTTTGTCATCCACTTGCTTAAGCCCGACAGGTATATCA